TAAGGTTCTGTGAGTTTTGCCTTTATCAGCTTTACCTTTGTTGAATTCTTTTTTTTTCCCCTCTCCTAAAGCTCATAAATAGTACCTTCATCACAGAAGAGAATTTTCACTAAGACTTGGGAGATGTCGTCTTACCCTCCATGCTTTATCATTCCCGGTTCACAGATGAAGGCATGGTGAATTTACCCATCTATGGTGTTAGAATGGGAGATTAAAGACACCTAAGTCCAAGAGTACAAATCCTTGAGAAAGGTCGTAACTTGTGACACTGATATCAAGGTAGAATTTGAACTGGGTGTTCAGCCATCTGGTAAACTCCTTCCAGGAGCTGCAGATGGGGCCAGGCCTCAATGAGAAGCAGGGAAGTCAGCCGGACAGACCTAACTGCAGTGGCCTCTCAGTGTCTGACTCTGCAAAACTGCAGGAAAGCACAAGAAAATTCTTACTCGTGCACAGAATTGCAAACAAATGCAGTGTCAGTTTTCCTCGAGAAACCAAACTTGAAGATGGGCTAACTATATAGGAAATGATGGTAGTCAGGCCATTGCAAATGCCAGCCTAGAAACAACAGGCATTATGAAGATGGGACCAATGTAATGATAGGAAGACTGAATAAAACGTAGAAGCAAGTAGGTACTCACAACAATGGTTACTCCTTCAGCAATGTGTTTATTTAAAAAGACAACATTGGCCCAATTTGCATGAGTTGCAGTGATTACTCACGTAATGTGATGTGAATTTTTTTCAAAAAGAAATACTGCTGAAAAGAAAATTTAGTTCTAAAGAATGAGGAAAAAGAGATTGCATGTATGGGGTATTTGAATTGGTGAGACTGTTGCTATGGAAACAATATAAGCAGTAAAGCTGTATATTTGAAACCTGTGAAAGAAAGGAAGTACTATAGAAACCATAGCAATTGTACACCTTTAGTCCACCAAGTGAGGACAAAAAACATCATTTTTTCCAACATTAATGTAAAGCTAGCGCTTCCAGTTATTCATATAGGGACCTCCCACATTTAATTGGTCTAAGACCCAAGTGCAGTGTTGCATTACTTTCAGAATGTTTTTTTTTTTTTCAAATCTAGTGAAATTGTTAAGAAAGAGAAGAATACATGACTTTTCTCCAAGTTTGCTTATCAGGGTCACTCTGTATTCAAGGACAGTAGTGTGAACATGTACTAAGGTTTGAGTTCTTTCCACTAACCATTCTGCAACGACACGGAAAGCCCCGTGGCTTGCTAGCAGCTGGCACCAGTAGGGTTACCATGGCCTGTTGAGTCTCCTTTTGTGTTTTGGCCTCATTTTATTTTTGCCATCAGTTCTAATTAAAGACCCATCAAAATCCCAGTCTGCTTAAAAACACTGAGAATGAAAATGGAAGGTGACTTCTTCAAGGCATGCTCCCTTTGCTCTTGAAAAATGGTGGTTTCATTGAATTGCATCTTTTTATCTTAGAGCAGTGAGTGGGATTGAGAGAGTTTTTGAAACCAATGAAGCTTCCCCCTTGGAGTACGTTCCCCTGACGCCATCTGCCCTTTCCTCCCTCCAGCAGAGAGAGCCGTCCTCGAGACTGAGGTCATGCAGTGTCACAGATGCGGTGGCCGAGCAGGCTCATCTTCCACCGGTAACCCACATTCACTTTATCATCACTTGACTTTTGCAGCTTGTCCTTAGAATCACCTGGGCCGCTGAGAGTTTTTCCTGTGTAAAATTCATTTAACATATAAATGAGGCATTATCAACTCGCCTAACAAATTGCCCAAGAGAATGGATTTCCAATATAAAGTTGTTACCACCACCAAAGTCTCTAAAATCCTAAAAACATCATCGCTTTAGTCTTTCACGCAAATCAGTACCGATTCTGATGTGCGTTTGACTGAAGGGATTCATTAATTATCCCTCCCGTGAACGTCATTCAGTCTCTGAAACTCTGCTCCAGTGACCTTATGTTGAGAACATGGGATCCCTTTAAACAGGAAGAACTCGTCAGGGTTGGTAGCCTTCTCGTCTACCGACAGCCTGAACACTCAAATCCACAAGCCCCTCTGTTGAAAGGCAGCTCTAATCTGTTCCCACTTTCCTACAATTTTAATAACTGTCAGCAGATATGGGCGTGTAGGAGGTTTAGTAACAGGACAGCCATATAAACAAATCTTCAGAGGCTGATCAGAGCCACCTTGGGGAG